AATGTCATAAGACGGAACATTATAAACGGAATTTTTTCTTCAAATGATAAGAAATGTACACTGTTTCATGTCAAGAGATTACGATTGCACAAATTTACAATAAGATATCTTTCTGATTTCTAAAGACTGTATGGGATGATACCACAAATCTGTTGAGACAATATTCTATCAATTTTGCTTGACTGTTGAAAACCTGTAATTGCACCATAAGCTGAATATATTGCAGCATAAAAAATAGCCATAACAATCCAATTCATGGAGTGCAAATATTGTCCAACTCTGAGAGATTCAACGTTTAGCCATAAAACTTTACGAAGAGTGACCATGAGCGAGAAGAGTAATAAGAAGAAAAGGTCACAAGAAAGTGTCCCTATAAACCTTCATGTCTCACAAGAATAACTTTTACCTGCCTATCATGAAACACCCCAGCAAATTCAAGAATGAATCAGTACAATAAAATGGTAGGGAGAGCGACCAAGACTGAAGAGGTGTGGTTCAACAAAAAATTACAAATGGACATCCACAAAAAGGCAGCATTTGATGATGCCCATGATTGTAAACCCATCAAATTCCACCTCTCCATCCTGAAACGCCATAATAATAGGGCATTTCAGGAGGTCTTAGGGTATAACAGTAAAAGAAGTGTGGAGTTGGGGTTGTTCTGAGTCAACATACTTTATGACTTCTTTCATTGCCATTTGACGAAGGCTTGTATGAAGGTTGTAACTAATCTCCATCCTCTCTTAATAAACTCCATGGACGATAACTGGCCCACAATCGATGATACTTCCAATCATAGCCTCCTATGATGCGCTTTTAGCTGTATGGTTTCAACCATGGTACATATGATTCTCTAACACCCACTCTTGAACTCCTTCAGTGTTACATGATTCCAGGTCTTTCTTGTGAAAGGAGAACTCCCAAAATAACGACAAAATTGTACAGTCCAGAAAAAACATAATCAGACATCAAAGGAATGGTAAGACTATGATGCTGGAGCAGATTCTTTACGTGTATAATACCTTCCAAACTTGGGCCATCACAGCGCGGTAACCAACGCAGAGTGAGCATTATCGGTGAGGTCCACCATGTTCGACCTCTTGTTGGAGAAAACTCGTTAAAAGTCGTGAATCCATATCAGAAATTTCCCTTTTATTCTTGCAAAAGGGAAATTTCACAGCGAAGAACTGATTTCGAATGTCTGTGGAAAGAGAGAGCAAACCCCAATTCACTTTCCTCCAGGGTCATATACGAAAAGAAGAGTACGAGAATTTGGAGCACGTGGTCGAAGAAGGGTTGGTTCCTAAAGCCCGAACAGAACTTCGTGTAGAGCTTTAGACCTCCAATGGCATGCATCTCACATCTTTCTAGGCCTCGTTTGCATGACCAGACGACACATTCAACATCTGATATCTGGCTGCGCATCCATTTATACCATGCGGGGCTTATATTTCAACGGGGCCACTTTGGAGAATGATCTTGTTGCCAACTCCCTATATGTATTTTTTGGCCTTTCCAAGATGACCCCCAAACCCAGACTTCATGCTTCACAGCTCAAGTAGAGCTAAAATGCATTATTATATCCTGGAAAGGCGATCGAGTGTTCTTTTTATGTCCCACATACCAAAGTGATCCACACACGTCCAGTAAAGGAAGGACAAATTTATTTCATGACTCCTCTGTGTCCACCTTTCCGACCTATGGGGATGTATAATTTTCATGAAGTACCTACAATATCATGCTAGAGTAGGCTAGATCTGGACGACCGCGCCCATGATAGGAACAATAAAAGTCCACTCTGATTGTGGGATGGATATGCGGATATTCAAAAGTGTAATGGCGAATATCTCATCAGCAATCTACAAGTGACCATTCACGGACTTCAACTTAGTGAATGAAAATATTTGCCCCGGCATGACGAAGAAGATACGAGGTTTTTATTTTTTTATAAATCATTTGAAAGGACCGAATCTTGTCACATGATGTTTCTTTTCATCTTTAATGATACATAGATATCAGGAACAAACGCAAGAGCTTACAATGCGAGTTAAAAGAACAAAGCTGGAGATCATGAATGCATGTATTGTGTTTTACAGCATATTTGAATAATATACATTTATCAAGGAGAGAGGTCACTTCCAAAACATCATAAATAAGACGTTATTCTTGTAACGAAGGAGTGCCCTTCAACTTTATGTAAGTATGAAGAAAGTGGAAGCCAGTTATTCTGCTACACGATATTTTTCACAATTGTTTTTCGAACTTTAGTTTGCTCATTTGAATCCGTCACTGTGATACAATGCAGAGGTTGTTTGATAATAATACAATACAGGTACCACCTGCCAGTCTCACATACCACATGGGGCGGGAGAGTTTGTAAGCTTGACTCACAAAAATACCATTATGTCACACTTTTGGAAAAGATAGGTGCAAGTACCCACATAGGTCCAGATTGACTACAAGAAAGTAATCTACTTGTCTTTCATTGTTGGCTGTATTTAACCAAACGATTCTGGCATTGTCCCTTTTTATAAAAAATATTGTGTATCAAAATACTGACACCTACTCAGAAAACTTTCTTAAAATGTTGAAAAAATCTACAACATTATCCCATAACAGATCCAAATAGTAAGTGAATAATCAATTATAAACAGGGAATTGAATAGTGATCAAGTAGCAAGTAGATATTGAATAGTGTAGATTCAAAAGTTCAGTTGCAAGGATACAGATGATCATGTAACTGCTAAACAACCTCACAAACTTAGAGATCTCGAGAAGCCCTCTAGAGCTACATTTTGAGTTGAAAAAATTGAGAGATCTCACATCCTTAAATTGAAACAATATCCGAATAACACGCTAAACGGCCTAGGAGTAAAACAAAACTTGTAAATTTATATGAGAGTTGATTTTAATATTACCCCAAGTTGATTCGGATGATATCCCTACAAATATTGTTGTTTATTTTCCCATTTAAAGAAAGATGTACACATTGGATTACAAAGTGATGAATGTCTCTCCACAAAACATGATAAATCAGTTCAATCTTTTTATGTCAATAATGTCAGGCATATTTTTTAATGCTTGCGCATAACACTCGTTTTCTAAATTTCTTTCAAATCATGGAAGCTATTGCTATCAATCATACGGTCCTACTCTACACCGTGTGTAGATTCTAGAGTAGGAGAAAGGAAGCTTATTAGCGAAGTGTCGTGTGAGAAACTTGTGCAATGACTCACTTTTCAACCCTTGAATGGAATTGAAAACTGTAGCACTTAACCGTCCTCATTGTAAGTCATACACCACAAATCTTTTCATTGTGATTAAAGTTTATTTACACCGATTTTATTTTACTGCTCTAAGAACGAGAAGTGTGCAATCTGGACGATTCTATCAGTATGTCTTTACATTGTGTGTGAAAGACTCTCGTGTTTCTTTTTCATTGACTTTTCTATAAGACGAATTAAACGTTACCTATATATTTTCTTCAGTCAATTATGCCACCCCCTGTTGTAGCTTAGACTAAAAATACTGTATGGGTACATTGAAGACAATTTGATAGTGTCATTAAACCTGGACAGACGTTTGATATAATAACACGGTCTTTTCCGTTTGAAGATGCAATCATTGTGCTGTTACAGTTATGATTGTAGTGAGAATAGACTCCGCAGTTGGTGAAATATTTTCATCCAATCCATAATCCAATGATTCATTTCACTTTTCAAGTGAAATGACCGGCACTCAAAAAATGCATCAAAGAAAATCTACAATTGATTAAGTGCCTGATGTGATGGGATACAAAAAGCAATGCAAGGTAGATAAGGATTAAACACATCATGTCCTTTTACCTTGTATGTTCTTTGCAACTGTTTGAACTTGAACAACTTAGTGTGTGCAGAGTTTAAGGTGTTCTGCATTCATGTGCTAGTTTTGAAGATAAAGTAAAGTAATGAGAATGTGTAAGAGTTGGAAATTTGAATCTCAAATGATCTTTTGATGATTAATTATGATCAAAACTAATGGATCGTTATTTTTATACTTATGTATAATTATATGCTATCATCGAATTCACTAAGCCTTCAATGTTTTGTCTACAATGTATTTTTTAAATGATTTCATCTGATTGAAAATTCAATATAACTTTAACTTGCGTCTCAAAGAAACTATGAACATTCATTGATGAATTCTGGATGTGATGACATCATTGTCATCACATCTGAGAAGACCTATTTAGGAAATTTTTTTTCAGGAAAATGGATGATTGTATAACAAACGCTACAGATTTATCATATAGATGAAAGAAAGTGATATTGTGTTGCTTAGTATGATGGGCGTTTTCTTTTCACAATCTTATTCCACATAATTCACTGCTAAGGGATGAAAAGTATTATAATAATTATCACAATTTTTTATATCATGATTTGACATATTTGTGGTTCACATGAGAAATTAAGATGTGAATACATTAAATCATCTTTTCATGGCTTAAGTATAATCAGAAAAAATCAAACACATTGTGATGAACTATCATTTTACCGTAATAATTGTTCACATACGATTTAAAATATATATTGCATATATTTTCATCTTCACATCAATATACGAGCTTCAACATAGCTCATTGTAAAAAGTAGTTCCAATTTTCAATTATGCCAATGTGAAATTCAAAATAAGGACTTTTCAATTTTTAATATTGAAAAATTGTTTTAAATCAACTTTTTTTCAAAATCAAAATGAATGAAATTTTCATTTTAGTATTGAAAAATGATTTAAGCCAAACATATAAATAAATTTCTTTTTCTTATTTGATTAAATTTTGTATCATTTTTATTATGAATTACAATAAATCTATTTTATCTGTAATAATGTGAAGAATTTTAAAAGTTATCAGTCAAATCTAAAATTATATCATCTAAAATTGTATAAAACTAAATCATAAAATATCAAAGATATTTACCACTTTTGTTGAAGATGAACATATCAAATTTCTAAATTTATGTCAGCTTAATACTTCCCACATAGGCGTTGTAGTCCAAGGAGTAGCATAGCACTGAACTTTAAGAGCCAATACACTCTCTTCTTTACTTTTGTCCTGAAACCTCAATTCGTCCTGAAATGCTCTCTCACTTTGTTCTGAAATCTTCTTCCCAATCTCTATCACTCCCTATGACTCTGTCGATCAGCTGGCCTGCCTTTTGACTACTGAACGCAGAACACAAAAACCAACAGAAGTTGCAATGCCAACGACTAACACACATCCTCGATGTGCGGCACAAAATGAATATCCTCCAGAGCCTCCGATTGTTCTCATGAGTTGATCACATGGACTGCTAGAGAGTCTGCAGCTTGTAAAGGCAAAAGACAACAAACATGGTCTAATGAATACTCTTCCCCTCTGATATGCTTATCTCCCCTCCCCTCTCCACTTCACACCCCACTACTAAAGTTACTCGCCTCCCATCTTTAGAGCAACACATCCTCTCGCTCCGCACACTTTGATGACAAAACCAGCACACTTGAATATTTCTTCTTCTTCTGCAAGCTCTTACTATAGTAGGACGATGAATCAGGCACACTCTTGACTGAGTGCTCCTCCAAAAATCACTTGGCAAGACAAAACAAACGCTTGGGATCAGTCACACGCGCTGTAACTCCAGAAGCCAAACAATCTATGTGCCACAATGCCACTCCAAACCAAAAATACGAATTGCTTGATCTTCTTCCGAATGCCACACCTTAGAAGATTAACATACCTTCCTCACAAAACTAGACGGATGATGGCTCGATGCCTCCACCACCTCGCTCGGCCGCCACCACCATTTCGAGCTTGATCACCTTGGTCTCCATATGATTGTTTGGCTGCCATCTGATCCCTAACCTAATCTAACCCTAATTCGCATCCCTCCTCATCTTCTTCCGCCGCCTTTCTCTTAGCTTTAGCCTCTGCTTTCCGCATTTTTGGTCAAACCCGCTTGCGTTCAGCTGGAATAATCCAACTGCGGCTATCTCTTCCTCAGCTTCTAATGTCTTCGGCGGTGTATCGTCAAGCTTCACGTAACATTTGATGGCAGCTGTAGCTGCTCGGCAGAAAAAACAGTGAGAGTGCAGAGTGTCTTCAAATTTCAACATACGAATGTAGGCTCAAAGAGTCATCTTTTGTAGACAGTGCATGTGAAAGTCAAACTAATTCTCCAACATGTCGGTGTAATGCTTCTTCACAGCGAGGTAATTCTTCAATGACTTCCCATCATATCTTTCCTCTAGTAACTATCATTTGATGCAAGCTCGTACCACATACATTGCATGTTGAAGAGATTGTTATGTTGATCGCCATCTTTGATAAACAGAACCGCGGTTTTCTCTACTAAAATCTACTTGGTCTGCTTATAGCATCCTCTTCACGCACTCGCTATTGATAAATCTGTCAGCCAAGTCCATAGAACGTGCCTTGTTTGCTAGAGCAGCTGTTGCTACTCAATTAACAGTTGTTGATAACATCACGAACCAACTCAGACATAATTTTGAAAGCTCAAAATAACATCTTCCAAAATGTTCAAGACTTCCAAGAATGTCCCTTGATTCTTTCATAGTCAAACCATGCTAAGATTCTCTAGTTTGCCTTTGGACAATACTGTTATGGCTCACAACAGTGGAAGTTATGCCTTTTGAAAGTTTGAAAAGGTTACTTGCACTCCACACGTCCTATTTTGTAATGGCTTCTGGAGCATGAAATAGCCCAACACAAAACACAACGGATGCTTGATGGTTCTTTGAATGAATACAGACAGAAATTTGCTTACTTACAGGCAAGCAAGCTCCATTGTAACAAAAAAATCCAAGGAAATTCTTTGTATGATGCCCGACATCAACCTCAACTTTCAGAGGCTACGATCTTCACTTCTTGGAACTGTGCTTTAATTCATAATCTGTGAATCAGTTTACTTAGAAGCCAATATGGCAATTAGGGAATCTTGTGATTATCTCTTAGGAGTCATGTGACTGGTGACAAAACTACTCTTAGTTCATTTCAATCTACAGTTTCTCGATCTGGAGTTTCCACCGCCAATGGAACTCGTGTAGTTGTTGTTGGCAAATGCACACTACATGTTGACGTAAATAAAGAGATAAAGCCTATACTTTACGTGTCTGGTCTTATGAAGAACATCATGCAACCGATTCGGGGCATGATTTGCTTTTCACTACAGCTCATTGCTTTGCAATCGATAAGACCAATCTCAGTAACATCTATCTATATGGCCAACATAACCCACACACCAAACTGTACAGAGTACTTCCCAAGCTGCATAGAGTCAACATGCAATCACTTCAACTAGTGTTTAAGCTCCTCTTGATGCAGAAGAAGACGTCTGACATGTTTGCAAATTCCAACTTTGTGGCTCTAGTAGAAGATCCTTCTGATTCAGAGAGTACAACTTATGATGCTACTAATTTGTAGCATAAGCGTCTGTGTCATATTCGACAACAGATAGCCTACCACATGGCTTCTAAGGCTTTTGTCCATGACCTTTCTACGCTCGCCATAGGCAAAGATCGTAAGTGTGAAGCATGTGTGCTCGCAAAGCAACACAAGACTCGAAGATCCAAACAGAGCAGAAAAAAAACTACACGACCTTTGGAACTTGTTCACAACGATTTGTGTGGTCCAGTCGAAGCGGGGGTTGACTTCAACTACCTTTTGATCTTCACTGACGATTATACTCGATATACTTGGGTTCGGCTTCTTTGTCTAAAAAGTAAAACTTTGTATCACTTCAAGCCCTTTGTCTTGCTTGCGGAAAATCTCTATCAACATAAAGTTGCTGCTGTGTGGCATACCGAGCACGATTAGTCATCACAAGTATGGTCTCTTCGGAGTGACAGAGGAGGTGAATACCTTTCTCAGGACTTCAAAAGCTATTGTCTACAAAAGGGTATTGTTTGACAACTAACTACAATAGCAACTCCCAATCAAAACGACATCTCTGAGCGTAAGAATCAAACTCTATTTGAAGCAGTTCGTTGTATCTTCAATACCTACAAGTTTATGGCTCATCTTTATATTGAGTCTTTGAGAGTTGTTAACTATGTGCTAAATCGTTGTGCAACCCGTGCATTAAATCTGACTATGCCATATGAAAATTATATGGTGTTCCACCTGATGTAACACGTCTCAGAGTAATCGGATGCACTTCATATGTGCACATTCCCTCTGATGAGCGAACGAAGCTTCAGCCCAAGGCAAGACGTTGTGTGCTAGTTGGCTACAATGATGAGTCTAAAGCTTACAGATGTTGGAATCCGTTAGCTCGTTGCATCGTTACTACCAACGATGTTACATTCTTTGAGCACATTCTTGGAAATTTTGTGCATGCTCATAGTTTTGTAGATATTTTCAATGACTTTGATGCTGAGGATGACCTCCCAAAATCAACATTCCTATCATAGTGGATTGTTACTTTAGATGGCAATTTTCTCGACACAGTTGTACACACACATGAGTCACAAGTTGGTAACTCTACAAACAGCAATTTCAAGCCTTACTCTCTTCATACAAGTCTACTCTGATGTGCTACTCCACCTGGTCCCAGGAGAAATCCTCCACGAGCAAATCGTTGACTATCACAATTTTCTGAAGACAACTATCACATACCAAGGCATACCTTCATCAATATAGTTGTGACTACATGACTAGTGTACGATCAAATAACTGCCACTCAAGCACTTCAAAATCCACTTTGGAAGTAAGCAATGCAAGAGAAGTTTGACTCTCTCATCGCCAACCTTACTTGAAAACTGTTGCCACTCCCAGAAGGTAAACATGCCTTATCCTCAAAATGGGTTTTTAAGGCCAAACCTCATTCAGACCCACTGTCTCTACGCTTAAAAGCTTGTTTACTTGCGCATGGCTTTGAACAAAAGTTTGGCATCGATTATAACAAAACATTTGCTCTTGTTGTTTGCTGATCAACCCTACATGTAGCTCTCACTATCACTTGGGTGGGAATTACATCATATGGATGTAATTATTGCGTTTCTTAATGGAAAATTGAGGGAGCTCATTTACATGAAACAAGCTCCCGGTTTTGAGGTCAAAGGCAAGGAAGACCTAGTTTATCTTCTTAACAGATCAATTTATGGACTTAAGCAGTCCCCGAGGAAATGGTATGAAGAAATTGACAGCCATCTTAAATCTGTTGGTTGGAGTCAAAGTCAACTCGACCGCAACATGTACTTACCTCGTAAGTGCAACACCATTACAGTGCTTCTATTGTATATCGATGATTTACTACTGCTCGGTAACAGTTCTGCCAAAATTATTGAAATAAAATATCAAATTCACCTTCGGTACAAGATGAAAGATCATGGCCTTGTCGCGCATTATCTTGATGTTATTTTATTTATCTAAACCCTAAACCCTAAACCCCACCCTAAACTTTTACCATTTTACCATTTACCATTTATGTGGATTTCTATCGCACACCTGAAGGAAACTTGTTTCTTCATCAACAACAATATACTACAGAGCTCCTTGAAGAATGCAGAGTTGACTTTACTATGATTGAGTATGTGACTCTCCCAGTAGGTCACGTACTTGAAGCTGACACTGGTACTCCATCCGTTGATGTCTCGGCTTACTATCATATCGTAGGGAAATTGATTTCCTATGTCACACTAGGCCAGATCTATCTTACGCAGTTGGTGTGGTCAATAGATTCATGCATTCACCTCAACAAGTCCACTGGAAATCTGTTTATCATACTCTTTGTTACATCAACTACACTTGACACTTTGGTATACTCTACAAACGCCAAAGTTCATCTTTACTTCACGGATTCTCAGACACTGATTACCTGAGTTGTCGCAACACTCACCAATCAGTTAGTTCTTACTTATTCAAGTTGGCTGATGGTCCCATCTCTTGGTCCTCAAAGCAGCAACCTACTTTCTCAGACAGTACAACAGAAGCTGAATACAAGGCTCTGTCTGAGGCAGCTAAGGAGGGCGTTTACATGCGACGATTGATGGCAGAATTCCAAGTCAATCCTCTAGCTTCAATTCCCATTGCATGTCATGCATCTGAAATACAAGCTAACCTCAAGCACGCCAACACTCCAACCTCAGCTGATTTACATTTGTCAGTGCGACAATCAAGTTGCAGTAAAACTCGCTCACAACCCTATCTTTCACGCAAACACAAAGCATATTGAGGCCAAGCATCACTTTGTGAGAGAACGAGTTTTAAAAGGAGAAATTCTACTTGATTACATACATTCAGAAAACAATCAGCATACCTTCTCACAAAGCCTCTACCGCGCCATAAGTTTGAAAAGCATAGAGATTCTATTGGGCTAAGTTCATTAGCTGAAGTACAAGCAAGTGCTACAACCTGATATATATTGTAGATATGTCTTGAAGGACTTTATCCATATTGTAATGCTAATGTTTCCCTTGAGAGGGGGTGTTGTAAGATGAGGTTAGTATATTTAGCATTAGTATTAGGACACTCTTTATCCTTTCGATTAGTTCCTGTAGTTCATCCAACCGGTACATTTTAGGTTTGAGTGCATCGCTGCACTCAGCATGTGCATGTGTCCGTGGGCAGGTATTTAAATGTTGACTTCTCTTCAGTAAAATATAATGTAAGTAACTCACAACAACTACTTAAGCAAGCTCCCATCTATGTGGTGAAAACTTAAAGACTTGCTCAATGTTCTAAGTTGCTGGTTAACAGAATGCTAATGTAACCTCAGGACTGGTTTCTGAATGCGGCAGTCAGTCGTTAAAATTGTATTGCGTGTGCCTGTCATGAACCGTCGAGGAAGGTAGAAGAAAGTGAATGCAAGCAGAGAATGATGTGCTAGAAGGCTACACTCTACACTTCACTACCTTTGGTGGTCAAGACACCCGAGGACGACCGCACGACGAGATTCCACAAATTCCGCCTTGCTGCAACTCTCTGTCGGACTTACCGAGCTGGGAAATAATAGGACTTTCGCAATCAGTCAGCTCTGATTTCTTTCATATGTCTTGCGTGATCACTCGATGTGCACTTTTTGCCTTGGAGCTCGCCGAAGGGAGGATCTGGTCATGACTGCTCACATGCGGATGCATTCACTGCAGTCCATAGAAACTGTGGTGGTTGCAGAAACACCAATGGGCGCATTCGAGACTAGCTCTGACCGGATCTGGCCTTGACCTGACCTAGGTGCTAGTCAGTCCGAAGTGTTGTGTTACGATTACATTATTTTGATAGCCAATCACGAGGGCGTGAGGCTTTATGTCGGTTATAGGGATGCAATGTTTGGTGGTGGCTCGATGACAAACCCCTCTTTCCCAAGCGCACCAGATATACTATCTCTCCCGGCACAATGTTTGAAGCCTTCAGATGACTTAAGCACGCAACAAATGAACCTATGATACAAGGAGTTCGAATAGGGATCAAGGCCTTGTTATGCAAAAATCGATCATCCGTCATTTGCTTCGGGATGCAAGCGTGGATATGATGACAACATAAGGTGTACAGCCCGCTGTTTGAAGGACCATTTGCTAATGTTTCTTGCTAAGATTTTATAAATAATTCAGAAAAAAAAGTATATATATATATAACCTTCCAATAGTGACGTGCAACCCTGACACTATTTGGAGGTTATACTCTGTACATCACTTTTGATTTGCATTTAAGATTACTAAACAATCTCGGATATTATGTATGTCATGATTCCTTCAAGACAATTTTGCAGTTTCGAGTCATTGCACACCTTCGGTGTTTCTGAGGAGCGGTTGCTTTATGTGATCCCCCGAAACGCTTAGGAGAAGGCAGACCCGCAAATAAATATATAAACCTTTTCTTTTGACGACTTGTCGGGTCGTCTTTACATCGAGTTTGAGTTAGAGTCGGTTCCCGACTCAACCAGACGGTGCCTGCACACAGATTTCGATCGTTTATTGTTGCGATATTGTTCTTGTGTGCACATGGGTATAGATGGAGATCGATGGTGATCATGCGTGGATGTAGGATGGACTTTTTACTTCCTCAGGTTCATCACGAATAGAAAGACATAATCACGAGAACCAAACTCACATGCAAGAAAAACAAGTCAATAAGGACGCATGTGTATTTTACCAACTAGACATATAATGTGAGTTGGGACTCGCAGTGATGATCATCCTGTACTCAAACAAGAAAGCAACAACGACACAGACTTTACATTCATGAGGACATTTTCCTTATCCCATGCTCTCTCAACATGTTTCTCTATCTTAATTCCGATGACACTAACTTAAGATGCTCCTAGTCTCCTGCAGTAATTTCAAGACAGGTGTTTAAAACCCGATCGAACGCCTGTACTGATGCTCAAGCCGACGAAGCTCTGCTTCTGCGCTTTCTACTTCCTTGCGCTGTGCACGAAGAGATTCCAACCATTTGTTCATGGAAGCATCAATGTCTATGAACGAGGGGCTATCAGCCTTCACCATTGTATTTTTCAACCGCCCAAGTTTTTCAAACTCTTGTTGAGCTATTTTCTTTTGATTCTCTATCTGCACCAAGATACTGGCAGGAGAAATCTGGTCATCCTCAGCCTCCAAACCCTCCATTTCCCTCTCCATCACCCTCTGCTTAGCCCTATCAGATGCCTTAGTCAGTCTTGCTAATTTTGTTTGATCTACGAGACTCTGGTAGGCACTTTGAAGTGTATTGAACAAGGGTTCCATATCAACGCGCCGCTTTACGGCAGCCTCTATAGCTGCTTCACCAACATGCGAACCACCGAGATCTGTTTGACAAGAAACATATTAGAGACATCTATGAGGTGAATCAGAGCTATGTGAACATTCTGAATCGGACAGTAATACCAAACCACTGCAGCAGTTCAAAATGTGCTCTTCGAGGTGAAAAGCTGGATATTTTGATGGTTCGAAAGGAGGCAATAAAGACCTGGATGTTAGAAAGAACAAAAACAAATTTCCGAAATGGTTACCTGGATCTACAGGTTCGTGCAGTTCTTTCTTGATCTCCGTTAGAAGAAGACGAACAAGATCCTGAATGGGGAACTTAGTCATGAGATTGTACATCTCCTCCACGAGTTTCTGGAAGTATTTGTACTTCTTGTTCTCTGACCCTTCAAGCAACTGTAGGACTAGTACAACAAGCGGTCCTAGATCCGTCGGATGCATCTTGGGATCTTCACCATGCAGACGATCAAAACTTTTCACAAAAAATGGTCCCAGATCTAACTTTTGAGAGCAGCTTGGACAGGAAAGTTCTGCATCCAGCTCCAGCTCCTTGACGACACCAGCCATTTTTTTTTCCATTGCACATTTGACGTGGGATAGATGTTTGCAGTCACACCTTAGTGCCATCCAATCATCTTCAGGTTTTACGGCGTTGGAGCAAAAGCAACACATGCAACCCCTGCAAAAACCGTGATCGCTTGAACAGACTTTACACCGGCAATCTGAACCATCTTTATCGGTATTGCAGGTCGGTGGAACGGGGGGTACTTCCTGGGTGCTTTCCATGACATTGGAACCATCTGCACGGGTAGATGATCCCTGAACTTCACCGGGAGGTAAGCGTACTCCATGGAGCTGATTGGCCGTCGATTGGTTCCCTTCGGCATTCGTTGAAATCCGCTGTAAAATAACCACATTTTCGTTCTGCTTATATTGCACGTTGTACCTGGCCTCCGAGGCAGCCACGACCTCTGGAGGATGCGCTGAGCCTTCTGTTGCCCCTGATCCACGATTCGCTGGTGTAGATGCTCCAGGTGCTGAAGACTTTTTCCCGCCAGACCTTGACAGCCCCGCACCAGCTCGAGGTTTGGCGGACTTAGAAATATGCGCATTTGCTTTTGGCATCAGGATTTGTTGCGAATCCGTCTCATGTCCAGGCTCTTCTTTTGCCGTGACCACTTCCGGTCCACTAGGCAGTTTAACGTTCAAGTCTAGAGGAGATGACTGCGACCTAAACCCTGGATTGTGCAGGTTTCCTAGGGGCTCTACGAATTGCTCTCTACCTCTCGGCGTTTTCTTGGATCCTCCCGATCTGGAGATTGACTCTCTTTGAGCTGAAGCACCCGCAATCTGCCCCCTGTTCGTCGTGCCTTCAGAGGCAGGAATGGAGCCTCTGTTGCTAGAAACAGTTGCATTCTGCCCAGGCAGCTTGTCATCCCTCGACCCAGCAGGACAGCCGTCCCCCTTTGAGGATTTGGAATCAGGAGTAGCCAGTCTAGTAGTCTCTAAAAGGCACCACTGGTGCTTTTTCTTGCATTTCCAGCTGACAACCAAATGTACAAGTTCGACCTTACCCATGCTAGCAGGGGGTTCGACGTTGCGCATAATCTGAACAAAAACTCTGAGCACCTGATTTGAGTACCTTGATATATTGTTCATGTCGGAGCTCCTGTGTAACAATAAGTTTCTAAAATCAGGAATCTCCAATTCATCTTTACCCTTGAGCTTCTCAGCTTCAGCTAAAAACCTTGTAGCAACTTCATTATCATAAAGCCACTTCCAGCTGGCTTTGGACGCCAGAATACTGGGGAAAAACCGATCTCCGCAATCCTTGTCAAAGTGGTCCTTTTTGTTGGCCTTCACTTTTGAACGCCTTTTGGCTGAAGGAGTCTTGAAGATGCCATCCGTATCAGCTACACCTCCTTGAGACGCAGGTGCAGATTCTGGAATAGGAGTGTGCGGAATAGGTGAAGCATCTGTGTTTGGCACAGTAGGCGGTGGAGAAGGCTGCACAATGTCAAGAAAGATGAGTGAGCTGGTAGTCCAAACGTGTCAGCAACAAGAACGAATACAACGTAAGTTCGGTTACAAAGCTTGGAAGTAAGGCGATATGGTTATAATCTTTCGTAAGTGGACAATCCCTTCTCAGAGAAACAAAACTTGCAGAACTGAACCCATTGATCAACATACTGGGAGGATAAACTCATGAGGAACTGTCAATATTAGTGACAGTACTCGGACCACACACTACAATGTGCCTTAGCATCTACACCAGTCGGAGTGCCATTTCACCGTGACCATATCTGCAACAGTTTCAGGCACCATTAATGCACATTGTTGTGGCAACTTAACCCTCTCCATCTAGAAACCGTACATCACATCAGTGCATGGTAGATCATTCCATGGCGCCCGCCCTGGAATTGTAAGATGTTACAGAAACTGTGGTGCATCACCTGCAGTAAGGACATTGCGTCTACTGAAATGTACAAGGTATCTATCAAGAGACTATACGATTCACCACCTCGAAAGCAGATCATCGGCATAACCATCGCCAGCCACCACAAACACGGGTCTCAAAACATGGGCATAGGTTTATGAAAGCCTGGTACAACGCACTCGAGCTCTGAAAATATAATCTAACAAAAGGTCCTCCACGGTCCATCAAACAAAAAATCAAAGATATTCCTGGTCACGAAGTTGCCACTGTCATATTCTGCGTATCATGAGTTGATTCTGGAACGAACTACAAAGTCAGCTCAAATGAAGAGAGCAATCGTCACCTGTTGTGGTGTAGTCGAGATTTCAGTCTTCACTTTCTTCTTTCTCTTTTCTTGGGCATCGTCGACAACGTCCTTCCGTTTTGTAGCCTTCTTTTCAGCACAACTTTCTTCATTCTGCTTCTTTGAGCCTCCTTCTCCACTTTGCCTTCTTCGAGCATCCTGAGCAATCACCTGATGTTTCGCAAGGACTAGACCCGATATAAAGTAAAAAACGTGCAGGGAACAAAGAAAAATCTCCAAAGTCAGATCTGGCCTCGATACTTCAAACCTTGAAGACGATAAGTGAGATGAAAGGTGGAGATGAGCAGTGAAAGGTGTGAAAAGTTTGTGGACGAAGAGCTGTCAGTCACTTACAATCTTCTGTGACTCGCCACCGGAAGCTGTCTAAAGGAGGAGGATTATCTAATGTTGCGAGAAAGATATTCAGTTCCGGACGGGATCGAAATTTCTCTCCTGTGGGAGAAGTGAAGTACATGTCGCTCAGTCGATTTCCGGCTCGCCATTTCCAAGATTCCGGCGCTAGGGGAGGACCTTCACCACACTTCCCCGCCAGAGGGTGAACTTTCACCATCTTCACATCACCAACTTTTGGAATCCTGGGCTTCTTCCTGATATTCGACAAAAGCTCCAAGTCAGTAAAACATCAAGTCTACAATTCAAATTCATGTGTCCTCTTCGCGTGGAAATCCACAACCATGAGAGGTCAAGGAAACGACACTACGAGCCGCAGCTCCAAGACCATGCAATCCGTGATGAGAACTTTACCGGGCTTTTCTTTTCATTCTCAATTTGATTCTCACTCCCGGCACAGAAGCTACAGACCGGAAAGAGGGTTTTGGCCGTCCATGTCTCATAAAGCGACCCGAGGAGTCGCGGATCACGGGCCCTCGTGGTTCAGGAGAGAGGCCCATGTTAAAAAAAAAATCTGATGTTTGCGTTGGAAATCTCTCCAATCTCACTCACACTTCTTGTCGCTGAAAATCGAAAATGTATGTGGAATTTGTAAACAGAGTTTTCTATGCTCGTTTTAGGTCTAATCTAAAGAGAATTTTGATTAAATTGACATTTTCAATCCCACACGCTTCACGTCCATTGCGTCAATTCTTCGATTCCTCTGTTTGCAGAATCCTTCGGGCGTAGATTAAAATGTGCACTTGGAAAATCAGGCCCGTACAGTCGATTGAGATCGAGCTGCGAGGGAGTGGCTGGCTTGCTACTATACGGTTACCGAACCAAGAAAATAGGAATCGAGCTTCCGCGACATTGCTCCCAGAGCTCGGGAAAATCTTGGACCCAGCGAAATACTGCAATCTGGAAGCGCCTTTGCTCCGCTTGGAGAATTCTCTAACGGAGCAGGAGCGCACATGTCCCGAGCATGTACATGTCCCGAATTGGACCACCCACGATTCGTCCTACTGTATCCGGTCGATCGATTGCGTGGCTTCACTCTCACTCTCTCTCTCTCTCTCTCTCTCTGTCGGTCAGAGGAACCTTACTCGTCAACAACGTTCGTCATCTGTACGGGCGAAGAGATCCTCTACTGTGGTCCTCGGATCTGCCCGGCCGCTGCCGCCATAACCAGCGAGCCAACGAAAGAACCATCAGGCAATCTCCTCCGCAAGTACGAATCCTGCGCAGCCGCGGACTTCGCGCAACGGCTTCCTCCTTCCTGGGCGGTCTCCATCGGCCCCATTCAAAAGGAGCTCGTCAGGATTAGCGTTCCAATCTCCGTCACCTGCCTTTCTCTTCGAGCCCTCCAGCTCTCGCCTGCGGAGTCTACACATTCCACCTCTTCTGATTCGGGTCAACCTCGTTCTCCTCCCCGGTGAACTGCTGAGTCCATCATCTATTTCCTCGATGAAACTGCGTACACCTTCTGCCGGAGGTTTCCCTCCTCAAGCTTGCAGGACTTTTCCCCGATTCATTTCTCCAAGCTATCCTCGCGCCGACCGTTATCACAGAGTCCCTTCTTCCTCCTCCTCGATGTCCCGTGCACCTTTTGCTAGAGGAAAGCCCGATTCATTTCTCGAAGCGATCCTTGCGCCGACCGTTATCACAAGGTCCGTTCTTCTGCCTCCTCGATGTCCTGTGCACCTTTTGCTAGAGTGGAGCCGGCCTGCTGCCGCGAATCTCGCACATCAGGCCCCTCTACAAGCGGTGATTCAGACCTGCAGATCTGTGTTTAAAGCTAGTCTCGAGATCCCAGCTCGCAGAGTAGCGCACACTCGCCTGCTGTTCGAGTCGAGTCGAGTGCTGGGCACAATCCCGGACATTCCTGCCGCGAAGAAATGAATTCCTGGATCTGGACTTGGTTCTTCTCAACGCTGTGCTTAACCGAAAATTCGACTGAAGGAATTATAAGAAATGCAGTCCGCACGAAGCATCGGTGGAATCGATCAGTGTTCTGGCAGGACCGCTCCGAACGATGGAGTAGGAGTCCACACGTGTCAAATCGACAGAGCTTACCAAGTTATTTGACCTTTCGTTAAATCCACAACTCATTAATGATCTTGCGTACCTCGTGATACTCAATAACTTGCCCTTCACCTTGTGACTATGTAAACCTCAGAAATCAATGACAACTGCTACTCTGTTCCCTCCTAAAAAACAGGGGGACAAAATAATGGAAAACTGTGCACGGCTCTCCCCATCGAGCTAGAGAGCCCATGCATGCTGGAAACGCAATTGCTAAATTGGGGTTGTTCCCGTTTTGCAGGGCAGGATCACCTCTCTACACATTCCAGATCGTCAGACTTAAAACTGCTCATAGGGTTTCCGTTGCTCAAATCCATGAGTGTGAGTAAAAGGTACATTATTTTTATTATTCTTGTCAGATTGTAGTGCTATATGTTGACACACATAGGGATGAAAAATTGGCTACTGTTTTAGATTTTTTATGGGAAAAAAGTTGATACGAAGAAAATACTATGAAACATATTATTTTAATGATATAAAAAAATGTTGATTTTAGCCTTTGATTTAGCTATTGCTAGAAAACAGGTCCAGGATACACCTTGAGAATATTCAATTTCTCAAGTACTAATTATACTCCTTATTGGCATCTAGTATTGGAAGAGAATGTCAGAGATTTGTTTCAGTTATTAGGATTTTGATAGTTACACTTTCCAAATAAGAGAGGGGTTGACATGATATTTTGGTTCTGTAAATGGGCAACATACATGTTAAGAGCAACCTCAATGCTTGTAATAAGATGTATAGTAGCTACAGTTCTAAAAATCCACATGATATCTCTTCAAACGATTAATGAAATAACATGTTTGGTGTGTTAGTGACATTTTTTTCTGAAGAGTTTGAAAAACTTATGTGAAATAACGTGCATAGATTAAGATTGTATCACACTTTTAATATGATTCAAATGAGGAAAAAAATTCATTATTTATTGAAAAGTTGGATTGTGATACTTCTAAGGTAAAGAAAATCAATTATGATTATATACAAAAAAAAAGAGATGATACTTATAAATAAATATCATCTTTTCAGATGATATTTATTTATTTAATTTTATTTCAGTTGACTTTGTTAGATTGTTGTAACCGTGTTTTCTCTACGCTTTTCTCTAAAAATGTGTAGGAGATATGCAATAATTACTTTTAAATCTATGAAACAAGTGCATGAACAAATATATGTTTAAACACAAAAGAAGATGGATGAAAAAAATCTTGGAACTCCTTTTAAAGATCCAAGACTAATTATAAGAAGCAAGGAGAGCTCACAGATGCTCACAATGGTAGAAAATAATACGATAAGACTCTGTCTAGACAAAATAACTTTCATGCATGTATGAAAGCTATTTTGTTTCATGCAGTTATGTTTGATTATTATCAGTAATATGTTATATTTCAAACTCAAAAAATAACGCATCAAGCTCAAAAAATTAAAGATAATAAAAAAATATAGTTATATGTGTTTGCTTTCACATGTATCATCATTTAGTGAAATCTTTACATGAAATTTTACATGTTGCTTAGAATAGATTATACAATAAGCTATTAAGAGTGATAAAATCGACACCTATCATACTACAATTTTTATGCATTTCCTGCATTGAGTATTCACTGCAAACCCTGTTATTTTAATAAATTAAAATTTTTAATATCTTTATTAAAACTTAAACTTGTATATATTGGATGTTGCTACTTCACTTGAGTTGTTCCAAGTGGATGGATGATCATACATTTCAAATTATGTAATATTGTAGAAACAGCATTTATAAGTTGATATTCTTCAAACAAGTACAGAGGTAACCTCAACCAAGAAGAAAGTATTATAAGCTATAAGGAAGAGTGCCATGTTGCAAGATAATCAATTAAAATGTTGCTGTAGTGACATTATAATACATAAACCAAATATATGTCATGGCTAAACTAATTGAGCTAGAAGGATTACTTACATCACTTCATGAATCATGAATATCTATATTCCATAGCAAAACAATTAACAAATCTTGTGCACAATAAAACTAGCGTTGTATAATTGAATAATGATAGAAGAAGAATCTAATGGACTTAGGCAAGATCGTTATTGCGAATTCATTGATCTTATGCATGAATATCTCTTTTAGTTTTTGGAAAAAGAGTAAGTAGATGTCGAATCAAGCAATAATTATGGTAAAATATCTATAGCATATTCAATACTCTCTATATAAGACCTCTACGTATTTCAAAAAATTAAGCATTTTCAAAAATACATAATACGGAATATACTGAGTTTAATCAAAATCTATTTTGTTCACTTATGTTCAAATCTGACGACAATGTAATACACCTTCAAGAGATACGAGTTTTATTTTTTATTTGTGAAGAACTAAAAAATCATTTTCTATAGTGTACACGCTAATACTCTAAAAATTCAATGAAGTGAGTAAATCTATCCTTGATACCTACAATAGTTCAAGCTTCACTAAAATCAAAATGGTTTGTCATATGATTTAACGCATTACAAGGTGAAGTTTGCGGTGGACATAGACCAAAAACTGTGTGTGAGCTTTCATTATTTGATCAATGTTGTTTTGTTGACAAAAAACTTTCAAACAATCTTGATATATATCAGAACCAATTAATCAACATCCCATGTTTTTAAAGCGGCAAGTTCATGAGGTTGGCAAGGGATCAACTCGCTTGGTTGAACTCAACACGTGTCACTTCAACCTGGATTAAATTGCAAACTGCTTCCAAAAGAAAACTGCCATTGCATGCAAAACTTCAAGGCTTAATTCCGAATTCACATCTGCCAATGATTGGATAGCAAAGAGACTATGATGATCAATTAATTCAATCAAATTTACATTACAGGACAACCATCTTTCCAATTTAATGATGTTGTCTGTTTGGTTTGAGTTTAATTCAATTCTAACTCATTTTATACATCTAAAACGCTGAAAATTAGCCAGCAAAGATTGTAGAATTAACTTTTGTGTTTCTTCATCCTTGTAAATCTTTGACACATTTGCTTACGAGTGCAACCAAAATCCACCAAGACAATGTAGACATCTCGCAAACTCGTTGAGCAATATTAATTTCATCAAATTAAGCCATGATTTTAGTTTGTATTTTGAAAAAACCGAGATACACGGGACATCCAGCCCAGCGAATAGCAGATAAATTTGTACAAATAACTTGAATTTTATAAGTCAAATTTTTTTGATGTCCTAGAATAGAAATCAACGAGGCAAGTATCTTATAAAATCCACGACCAACGCTTTTGCAAACATTTTGCATCACAATATGGATCTGATGTAGACAACATCACACACAAATGAAATATGATCCAACCAACTTTCAATACGCGGGACAACTTGAGATAAATGCATAGTCATATTAGTAGCATCATTAGTTGAACAACCGTTGGTTCTTCCATGACTTAGGTTGTTTTTCCATGACGAGAATACTGCATCAAACGGTTTTTAAAATATCTTGAACATCGTCAGTGATATATTTCTAACAGAAAATTTTCAAGAGATGATTTTTGATAAAATTGAATTGGGCATTAATCTAGATACAAGTTGCAAGGTCATATGATGCATGAAAATATACAGAGAAGATATATGTGGAGTGCAAGATATGTGTGAAGTTCTTAATGAATATGATGCATTTTGAAGCAACCAGATATTCACTGCAAAATCTAAGTTTGGGAATGTCATATACCTCTCTTGCATCAGTCGTCATCAAAGAAGACACAGCGCTCTCTGGCATCAACAATCATCAAAGAAGACAAAACGTGTTACCAACTCAAACTGCTTCTCAGTCTAATATGGATGCAATATTTGTCAACTTCAATTCTGATTAAAGAGTGACATTGCAATTGATCGAGATTGGCCATCCGGATAGCTTTCATCCCGGATCATTTCTACTATAATTACGGCAACTCTCATCACACAAGTTTACATGGCATATTGGCCCTTTGATACTCTCCCATGTAACTTCGTGGTTAATTAGAACATGTTACATGTAGTTGTCAAAATACATTGACACCTCCGAAGAGGTGTGAGGATAGCGATTGATTTCACAAATTTACAAAAGCTGCGGCTAAGTTAAAAACTGGTCCAAGGGCGGCTTAACCCGAAACAACTATTTAAGAGTAAACGGTGTGACAATGTCTAAAATGTAGAACTTTCATCACTCTTTACTTACGCCGCGTAGAAGGGAAAAGAAGTTAGCATTCAAAATTCCTATCTTCGTGAAAACCAAATGCGGAGTATACGGAACTCCATTGCCGGAGTTCCTTATTTAGAGAGGCCTGAGCATATTGCATACGTCAAAGATATCTGGTAGCAGTCTCGAACTTCAAGGTGCACACGATGAGTTATTAGCCACGGGCCTTCAGGTACAAATATGACTGGACGAAGCACGTTTGTCTTCATCCGAAATTCTTACCTACTATCCGGGACATGATTTCCACGGAAATCTCCTTGTCACCAAACTACCGACAAGGATAATGTTGTCATCTCAGAGTACGAGTGCTCAGTCTGAACCGAATACATGCAGAGATTGGCGCTGTGTGCGTGTGCTTGTTCAATGCAGGATCAATTTGAAGCGGTTGGAATTGACCAAGCGCATGTCGAGATGGGAAGACTGTTGAGAAGAAAGTAATATTTATCAGATCATAGCTTCTTCATCACATTATGCTTTTAAAGAGGGATTGGGAACGGTCTTACATTTTTGTTTAACGCAGATGGGTGCTTCTGATCCAGGGATATAGGTTTCGGATACGCCAATTAGGACTAGTTTTTCCCTTCTTAGCTTATAACTCCGAGGAATGAAAGTCGTGAACAACGACTTGTGACAAACTGGGTAGAGGTTGAATGATATTGGTGGTGTTTCGCAAGCTGTGAGAAAATGAAACCCTAGTCCCTATGTGGATTTCATACGAGTATATGCTGGAACAGTTAGCTTTGTTTATTTTCTGTCAGAAAGATCCGGTTTAGACGTTGATTGGTAACACTGCAATTGTAGTAGGGATTAGACATGAGTAAGAGTCGGAATCGGACCTCGACTATTGGGCAGCTTCAAGTTTTTATGATAATACGCACGCTTACTTCTTGCTAATGAGGTTGTCGGATTGGATTTTATGAATTTCAGCTTGCTATTGAAACGGGCTGGGATGAGAGGAAAAGAGAAGGAAGATTGAGAGATGAAAGGACGAGCTCAAGGCTGGGGTATACATCAAGTTCGGACATGTTCAATCTCAAAGCGCATTGCGACTCTCTCTGGTGCTAGAAGCTGGTTGTCTGGATAATTAACACCAGCTTTGTTTCTGACAACCAGCTTTTAGGACGAGAGAAAGTCTCTTAAACGCCCAGTTGGAAAGAGGTGAGAATTCCGTACCATTTATCTACCTATTACCCACTAATACATGTCTTTCCTGCTTGGAGTGAAATTTCTGCTGAATTTTTTCTCCCATCGTTCGCTTTCACAATGGACAAATGAACAAGTTTTACTTCGCCAGATCTAGAAGACACCGAAATCATGAAATCTAGATGCTAAATGAAAACTAGAAATAAGTGCACCATGTTCTGACGGGAGAGCTGTTGCCATTGTCATGGGTTTTCTTACATGGAATTGCTGCAGGTTTTAAGTAACAAGTAGTAGATAAGATAAGCACAACAAAACTTGGCTAAAACTTCTCTCCGTCTCTTTTGGATCTTGTTGATTTACTAAACTGGTTTTAAAACTTTTTGAAATTTTCTGTTACTTACATTCAGAGAGAATTTCCAGAAGTGATTAACGACCGAAATCAGGAACAGCCTGACAAGTACATATAACACAACTTGGCCAGTACATAGTCTGTTTGTGGTGTTATATCTCCTGTATATTTGGTCATACCAGTAAAAGCTTTAACTATACCTTGTAGTGTGTTCTTATTAGTCATTGGAAGCAGTTCATGTACCTCCGCTTTGTGTTTTTCTACTGGGTTCTGGTCATTACTTGCTGATCCAGATCCATGTAGTGAAATCAAACTTTATCCAAAGGGAAATTGATGGTTCTCCTGAATGATTACCTTTGAACGTAAGTTTCTAGTACTGGTATTGACAAAGATAAGGTAAGATCAGAACTATACAATTCTGTCATTTCTTAAACAGAATGGTTTTAGATCCAAAAAAAATCTCGTGGACCGCTTACAATGATAATTATGATAAGACAATGGAAGAACACTGTACATTTCTAAGGAAACTGAGTTCAAGTCGAAGAGAAAACCTCCACGTGAGATGTGCCTCTCTCATGCATCCACGAGGAAGAAGTTTTGCAGATTTTCCTGGAGGACATAGTGGACAGCAGCATGGCGCTGTTTTCGTTGCCTAAATATACTGTAAACTATGGCATGAAGTAAGACCATTTGGATGGAGAAAGTAGAGCGGAACTTGGGTGGTTCATCACGTGCTGGCTGAGCGGATAGTAAATATTACAGGGGGTTATGCATTCAAACTTGGTCATGTGACAATCACGAATGTTCGTATTTGAATCAGTCCAGAATTAACTGGTGGATTTAAGTCCGGAATCTTAAATTACAGTAGTAGCATACTTGCATACAAATATTAGTTTTGAGGGAGAATCATCTCTATCTACGGGCAAGTGAAGCAGACCATGCTCAATAATGAGGTCTACGAAATGTGCGCAAATCACCACCACGATTTCCTATGAGGACTTTACTGGATACTGATAATGTAACGGCGATATACCACTCCTGTAAAGATTGTGGTCAACAGTGCTAAAAATAAACTCTTATCATAGATCTCGGAGCATACTCTTGAGAAGCTTTACCCTATTGTGTTACATGGATCTGCACACATAAACAGTCCAATGTTTTTTGGAAAGCGTGACTCAATAGTTTGAGAAGTACTCCGGACCCTTCATTGTCTTTTGGGTCTTGTTTGGAACACCCAGTTGATGTCTATGCGGAGAATATAGTACAGTAATGTTTACGAGTCCTACAGCTGGATAGGTGTCACAGTTCATGAGATGTGACTAAGATCGTACTGTGCACAATGACATGAGTAGTTCAGATATCTACGCACGATATGAAAATGAGTTTATGAGAATTGGTACACAACAAACCGAATGACATACTGATGTTCTCCAGATAGGTGAAAACAATTGCAGAGAGCTAAATGACGCTTCTTACGGACAATCCAGACCTTGCAAATCACTGCTGCTCAAGATCTTCACTCACAAATTAAACCTTACCAAATTACCTTGAATCTCAACTGGATTTGACACACATATACAAAAGAAGCTTTTCGAGCCATTTCCTCAGCCCTACGAAAGTCAGTTGAAATGCTAGATTCTTGTGCTGAATAAACTTGAACGAACAGAAATACAATACAACGCAAACGTGATACAGCTTCTAATATTTTTAAAAATGTGAATTTACCCCAGCCTCCTCTTGTAGCTGTAAGGTAAATAGGGCCTCGGTATAACCCGCCAAAACAGCTTTACCGTCGTGGGTAATTGATTAATCAAATTTATAGATGCCAACGTAGCAGGCGTGAAGCGCCTGTAGCTCAGTGGATAGAGCGTCTGTTTCCTAAGCAGAAAGTCATAGGTTCGACCCCTATCTGGCGCGAACTACACATAGGTGCTCGTTCTTTTTGCTTGATTGCACTCTTCTGGAGACAGAGACACGTCCGCTACGTCTGGGCTGGGGGATTGTGAGAGCACTGAAAACAAAACCTAATTGCTTCTACATTTTGCTGGACGTCATGGAAGAAGTGCACTCACGGTACACTGCAGGGAATGTTGACCAGGCCTTCTTGAAAATTTGGAGCAACAGCGATTGAAACACACGAGAACAAGCTAAATCCTATCCATATATGTAATCTAGCTGTACGCAAGCATCCATCGAACCAGTGATTTGACAGAAGCTGGTACTTTCCTTCGATCTTTTCAAATTTAGTTTGAGATGACATCGACATGAAAAGCCTAAGAGCTTGTAGATCCGATTTTCGGTGTCTATGAGATCATCTGTGGTCTCTCTCCTCCACAGGTAGGCTGACGCAGTTCTGGGAGAGGAGGAAATTAAGTACATCGTGGAGTCTCGGAGCTTCCCTGGGAGCTGACTAAGTTTCTTATGAGCTTTCTTTCATTTCGCTCCTTCGAGCTACTGGCGCTGATTTGCATACTCAATAGACCTTAAGGTTCTGAGTACCAAGGGGAGAGGGTTGTCGGCAGAATGCGGGAGTCCGCGAAAGCAGATTCACTCCTCCGTGTAGAAGATAGTAGATGCCTTTTCCATATGGTCAAGAGATCAGTTCAGATACAGCACAAAAAGCAACAAGAATTCAAGAAGGACCAAAAGGGAAAAAGGAGCCGAAGAGCACAATTGTAAAGGTTTGACAAATGATTGCGGTTCCGTAACATCACAATCACCCCGAACTTTGTTGACTGCCATGATGATAGATTGCTACACTAGTTGTCTCGCGTGTATTGCTCGATGATTGAAGGCATCCCACATTCGGATACTGCCCGACTTTAAAGATTTGATTGACCTGATGCCATGTCCAGAATTCAAACAGGGCGAGGAAGGGTCAGCGAGCTGTACACCAGGAGACTACAGGCCTCGTCGATGCATGGTCTCGTCGATCGCATCGCCTTCGACTAAATCCTCGCAACCACAATGTCTTTCCGAAAGTCTAAAGTTCAACTTTGGTTTAAACCCTAATGCTTTCGACACAAAAGGCCTGCGCTGCTAGACGGTTCCCAGTGCGGATGAGCTCTGAGATTCCCACGGACTCTCTCCCAATTCAATGATGGAACAAAGCAGCGCAGCCAAAGATCGATCATCGATAGCTGTAAGTTGACTGTCGATCGCCGGGGCAATCATGCCCCGGCGCTATCGATTACAAACATACGTCGATGATTTCCATATCTTAGATACACATCGGTGACATCACAAGGCGTGAACGATACCAGCGCATGCGAAATCCGACCGTAGGCATATAAAAATATAAAAATGCGCCGCATGAGAGCATAGGTCGGGAGTCAAACAGCGCGCATCTAAGATTCAACAAAAAGCTCACAACTGAACTTTTGGCTACAGAGAGGATCTGAAGTTCTGAAAGCGCCCAAACTGACAGAAAGCTTCACAAAATGGAAAAACCTGCACACAATCTACAACGTAAGGACGGAAGACCAAGTGTCAGAAGGAGCATCTGCTTACACGCTTCTGGTGAGATGAGAGCCGGAAGCGTCGACACGACAAGACACGGGAGCAAAGGGCTTTGCGAGATTCGATTGCGCCGTGGAGGAGTCGGGCCCTTCAGATGCAGTTCAGATCCGCATCCACGCCCCTTCGGACAACAGTTCGGGTCAGGCGCCGGCGACGATGCCAACTCAGTGTCCGACTTTCGTCTTTCTGTCCATATCAGCCTTCTCATCGGCCGACGCGTACAAGAATCCCCAAATTTGCAAGTTGTGCGCGTAGCCAATCCAACACGTGGAGAGACACACGTGGAGTAGATGTTGATATTTCAGTATTCCAATCTTCTCAAATTATAAGGTTATTGCAAATGTGAAGTTTTTAGAATTGTTTTTGGGCTCTATGTATATTAGAGCCAATCTTTATAACAAATATTATGGATTTTTTGAATAATTGTGTATAATATCTTTTATATACGTATCTATTTAATTTTAAATAATATTTATATAATTTGTAATTTATTTTGAACTTACTCTTCATACACCAGAAAATACATTTCTCAATTTTTCGTATAATATTTATTTTATGCTAGAACCTCATTTCTTGTAACATGTAATGCATGCTATTAAAATTTGCTTACATCGGTTTATTAGCAGTTAACTCAGGTCTCGACTATCTCTAGTTAGTTTTGGTATGACTAGTCAGTTAGTCTGTCCTACTAGAAATAGCAAGTTTAGGAGTTCAATAGATCACTCTCCATGAAATGGGATATAGTCTGACAGTAGCATATCATGTGCTTCTTGTCTTCACTCTTTGACAATGCATATCGCTGCAAATGTCAATCTTTCCCAACATAAACAGATTTCTTTTCAGATCAATTCTTTCATTCGATTGGATGTTCATTTGGAATACAAAAGATATCTCTATCCATAATATTAAGATCGTGGATACATTTCTCGAGGTATTCGAGGTGAAGAATGAGTTTGTATAATCACAAAAGTGGATTGACTAGAAAGTTCAATGTTGACTTGCGGTGTAATAAGGTTACATAAGCAACTTCGTTTGATTGGGTTTTTGTTCTAAGGTGAAAATTTTTGATTAATTTCCATAATGTGTACAACTCAATATAAATACAAATACACCAGAGACTATCTAGTATGAATATTTTGTAATATATTTACACAATCTTAGATCATTAAGTAGGTCTGTATATAACAAAAAATCACGTAAAGTTAGAGGATGATTCTAATGCTATAGAGTCGCGTTACACTCTAATGCTACATAGTGAATATATCCGTTTAGAGTATCGATTGTAGGGCTTGATCTCCGCATGCCATTTGTCATCCGCATTGTCGTGCCTGGGACTTTGTAGCCCCGTCCGTCTTTGAACAATGTCAAGTACTGTAACTGAGCCTGAGCAATCTCACTCACAATACTCACTCGATGGCATCGGCTGATACAAGCGTGATAATGATGGCGGGATAAGCGCTATGTACAGAATCATGATCACTTCCACAACGGAATAGGAGTCGTATGATACAAGGTCCCCAATCTTAGGCCTGAGGCCTGTCGTCTCAACAATCTCAGATGTTGGAATCCTAGGCAGATCTTGCGTGGCATGCATTCCAATATCGTGTTGGGTGATCTTCACCACAGAGAAACATGAGCAGCTCCCTCACGTCGTTTGCTGTTGGGTTCCAGAGTCTGGACCAAGGGCTCACACAGATTGAAACCAAAAGAGTCCATGACTTCAGGTACTGCTCGGCACGTCCGCCTCGATATACTGTGATACGGCACTCGAGTCTGACATGGCGGCTAGTTCACATCATTCGGGCCACATCACAGCGTACGTTCGAAAGGGAGCGTCAGAGCCGTTTGTTGCCGCCGGCCCAACAGTTCTCCAAACAGCTCAGGCTCTCGAGTTATGGCTCGTCTGATCTGCAACCTTCAAAACCGTCGATTAGGTCTAATCTAATCCACTTAATGAATGATAAGTCGAATATAGATGAATCTAGTCCAGTCCCTGGGCCAATCCACCACGAAATCGATTCTTTTCTGTCAGACATCTGCTCTATCCTCACAAGGATCGACTTCTGTATAGTATCAGATTGAAGAAGTTACAAAGAAGGGACCGGCCGGGCTGGGAAGGGCTGGGCTGCAGGGGCAGTGAGAATAGTTTCTGCTGGTGCCCGAATTTGGCGGATCATGTCCAAATCGATTCTCGACTCCTGTCCCGATATCATCTTTGCTTGTATCTCGCTTCCTGCTAATGAACATCGGTATTCGATGTTGGCAATTACGTCAGGATCTTGCCCATTCCGTTTACGGGACTAGTGTCGACGTACATTGCATTGCTTTCATCCGACTACGGAACTCTAATTTGAGCAGGAGACAGATCAGCGAATTCTGTATACGGTTGGATACGAACACAAATAGTCATAGTACAAGTACATCCTGAAGTGCGGAACCTGCAGATATGGTGATGATGAGTGTCCGTACCCGCATTTAAGCTACCGTAAAGTTGTCGATTGATTGAGAGCTTGCGTGGTGAGAAAGTGCAACACGGGATCGTGGTTTCCGTCGTGGATGGGGAGAGCTAAGCTTGTTATTCAGTTTCGGAGTTCTGACAGTCAAACAGTCAGAGACCTTTGGGCCCCTTGAGAATGACAAATGATGTCGCAGAGCTGAAGATGTATTACGCACACCACATTGCTCAGACGGTGAAGGCCGAAAAGACGACGAGAGTAGAGTTCGACCCGCATTATCCTGTACGTTGTAACTGCTCCTCATCCAATCCACTGTGATCATGTTTGAGTTGTGTCGTAGCAAGTACAGCACAAGTGCATGTTCAGTTCAGCCTCACTCGACGTTTCCAATATCCATGTTTTTTGGATTCCACACGAGTTCCGTTGTTGTGCAAAAGCTCTCGAAAAAAAAGATCCAGAAACGTGATCTCAATACGAAAACCAATTTCCAGAACATTTAGTCATCTTCGTTTATAATTAAAGATTGTTGTTCGCAGATTGACACGAGTTTTTAAACTGTATTTGGAACTCGCTACTTTACAACAGATATAATTGTTGATGGTCTAATAAAGTATACATTTCTGTTACTCGATTGACCTGTGAAAAAAGTTTATGGACCCACATAACTCCCTGTCGAAAACAAAATGTAAGTATGTGTGGAAATGTTTCAAAGTTTATAGAAGTCTAGTAAGTCATGCATGAATCGTGATCCACGCATATATCCAACGCTGATACTTTTCAAGACAGATGAGTACGAAAAGCCCACCCATTGCCGGCTTTCCAAAGAAGAAAATAATACTAATAATTGGAAAACGAAGGCAGATTCTGTGGGTTTTGTGTATGCATGAAGATCATGCACGACTTAGGAACTTGGACCAGCGACGAAGCGTTCTGATCACTTATTTCAAGTTGTGCGTCGGGAGTCATGGTGCTGTCTTCGAAGTTGCCGACTGACTTTGACTTTTGTACAACTCGAGCACGAAGCATATTAGGCTTACCCTTGAACTCTTGACATAATAATAGATAGGCGTCAATGAGCTTACCTACTACGCGAATAAGTTACATGGAAGTCTTATTCTCAAGGCGTACTTCGCTAAACAATACACAAGATCACATGGAGTACTGGATCTGGAAAATCTATGGTCCCCAAGGCTCCAACGATAAAGTCGTTCACACTCTATTAATTCAAGAGCCTATCATTGTAACAACTTCCTGAAATCTGAACGAAAGATTATTCAGTTCCGGTACACATTAGACTTCTAAGTCATAAAGTGAAGCAGGGTACACTTTGACTTCAAAGTTTACCCTGCACCTCCTAAGAATGGCAGTTAGTACTCTGATTGTGTCGCTGTGCCAGGTGAAGATGAACTAAAATTCTGTCAAGTTTACACTTTTCATAATTAACTCACTAGTACACTTTGGTGTCTAAATGAGAACTATACTAAGGGCTATTTTAATTTAGGATTTATAATTATAATTTTATCCGTAAAATAACCGTGAAAAAATTATGGTGAAAAAAATGTATGGTGATGTCAGTTTTTTTATCGATTGATAACTGTTAAAAAAAATTTATACAATTAAAAATGTTATTTTTTTTGAAAAAATAATAATAATTGATAATACATTTATATCTGTAGAAATTTAAAATTTATATCCTAACTTTTATTTGATTTAATATCAAAAAATTATATTATCCTGTGATACAAATCCGATGAATAAACTAATTCGATCTTCTGTATCACATAACTATGGGTCAAAATGACATTGATTGTCAAATCCATCAGCGGCTCTCAAGTGCCGAGAGAGCCGCTGAGGGCGCAATAAAAGTGCATTATTTTTTCTTGGAAATGTATGTATAGTAACATTAATATTGATAGAAATAGTGTAAAGTTCATGTTAAATAATGTTAAATCGAATTTATGCACAACTATTGGTAAATATATGAAGTTCATTAACAAAAAATTCTTTCTAGTAATATATCAGTTCTCTAAGCATAACCAGATTCTGATAAGTTTTAAAAATCTCTGTTACAAATATAAATATGTGAAGAGACATATATTACATTTTTAATACTAAAAACATCTACATAATTTTTACAGTATATGTCGTTTATACTATTTTCATGTTAAAAATAATTCCAATTAAAATCAAGTGTAACTTGTACATTATGAAATGTATATTCATACAATGTTCAACATTTACAAAAATCCATTAAATGTAAATTCATAAATACTCTAAATAGGAAAAATGGATCTCAAGACAGAAACAGAAATATCAATAATATTTTTGTTGAAAATGTATTGAATTTGGACACCAATTAAATAATGCATTATCTCTTGTGAGATATAAGTGTAATTTTTAGTTATTTAATAAAAAGTAATAAAACATAAGAAAAAATAATATTTTTGCTTTCAGTTCTCAGTTCCTTATATCATTAGAGTTTGATTTTTTAAACGAATTCTTTTTTCACAATTTAGTGATCACAATTTTTTTGAAATCGCACAATATATAGAATACATCATCCTTATTATTCCTCATTTATCCTAAATTCAATATGTGTTGTTGATTTAGGACGAATCTATTTTGGTTGATCAAAAATTCTATACTAAATCTGTTCATATGAACATTCTATCCCATCTTGTTTATATTCCATCCTCGCGGACTATAGCAACACCAAAAATATATCATAATATGATTTATTATTCATATGTATACCTCAAGTGAAAAAGAGTATATTAAATGTATATGAATCATATAAATAATAGATGATAATAGTATAGTTGTGTAATGAATTCAGAGTTGCATACCATGACAATATTTTATAATTGAAAACAAATTTCCCCTTTGCACATCCGAGGTTCAAAATGTATATTATATTCAAGATGGGTGAGTGTTATCTTTATCTAAGCAATGGCTTACAAATCTTTGAAACATAACTAAATTGATGAATTGACTAAGAAATTGATCTATAAAGTTAATATCATCGAGCTTTTATTTGATTGATAGAGAAGGAGAAAAAAGAAGGAGTTCGAGTTGTATTATGAGAGTCAAAACATTACATTAATGTAAGGAAAAATGAATGATGTTCTACTCATTATATCAAGGATGATAATAGTTGAAAAAAAGAAGAGTAAGTGATACAAATATGAAGAAAGTGCCCAAATAGCCAAATATGCTATACACTATGTCTTCTTCAATACTAAATATTTACATACAAATCAATGAAGGATGTATGTGTCCATGCTGATTATCACAAAATTGAAGATCTATGATAAAATATCTATCGCAAAGTACTCATATCAAATTCAGTAAAACATACTAAGAATGATTATAAATCAATTATCTTGCAAAGAATTGAAAGTACACGATACTAGATTAAAACAACTTGAGTATATATATTGAAGCGAGGTCGTATATGATGAATATATTAATGGCCGATTAGCTACATATGAGATGCGACTAAAGCTTCTGTTTTGTTATGGTTCAAAAAGTTCAATATGACTTTTTAAACCATGTTTTTTTAACAGTTTTTTATCACAGCCGTGATCAATGCAATTTTTTAGAAGACATAACTTTAATAACATGAAATGCCACGATGAAGTGTAATGAAGATGTGTTCAATAAATGCAAGGCATATCTTTCACACGTAGAATGTGTCCGAATTTTGTGCTAGAATATTTTTGTGATCCAATCACGCGATAAATAATGAAACATGGTGCCAGGGCTTTGATCTTAAATTGTAGTGATTCCATCATAATGTGAATTGGAGTAAGATAGTCATTGTGTTGCACTGTTGAAATTTGTTCTGGAGTTGATAAACGTTCCACGTCCCATAAGAATGTGAATTAAGTATGGGATCGGGCAACACCTCGTCGCGTTTTGTGTGCAAACATTCTTGATAAGGTATTGTATTCTCCGCTTATCCTGTACTGTATGTAACAGAATATGCTTCACTTCGATTTTGCAGCTGGTATAGAACAAGTTCAGGCATGACTGCGCCTTATACGTATAATGCTCATCTTATGTATTAATTTGATAAAAGTGGCAAAGTAGTTCTGCTATCGAACTGCGCAGATTGTCCCATGTATGCAAGGTTGGTCCGAGGAGTGCTTCAACTTGAACACATGTTACTCTCGACGGTCATTATGGGCTTCAACAATAATCAGCACTAATATTTTAGAAGTTTGAAGTTATCCCAAGACATGGCACTGTGATTGGAAGTATGACATTTACCTGGTCATCATATCACCTTAGTATTAGGTCATCACTGAGCGTCAAGGGTGGAACACACTCGTTAAATTCCACTGATTCCATTAATGTTTGTCAAAGCCTTTTCTGATACTCAAGGTTGCTGATGCATCAGAAGTAGCTGGGATATGTTGAGAATGTGGGATAAGATAGAACCACTGTACTACATCTCCGCATTAAGATGAAGACTTTTGGCAGGTGGAGTCTTCGTCATCTCTGAAACAAGTGCATTGTTTTTCCAACATGAAGGAGGTGTTCAGTTGCATGCTGTTTTCATTGCACGGGCTAGGAAGGACAGAGCAACACAGGAGTCTGGAGATGAATGGATGGATGACTTTGAGAAAGGACTAGTGCCAGGAAGTGGCCTCTCCTGGCCTATGTGCGATCTCGAAACTTACTTACCTCAGGACTTGTAGGCGTCACATGGGAATAAACCATCTTTGAACGAATATTTGTCAGCAGGACTTGGGGGCGAAATTCAAACCAGAGACTTTTCGTCAGACTGATGCACAGGACTTTATCTTTGACAGACATTCTGAATTCCTGCGAATTCTTTAGGTCCTTAGTACGTCCACAATCCTCTATGTTCTGTCTGCCTGTGTATCGCAGTGACATGATAAATCCCGGCGTAATCCACGTGATTGGCGGGAACTAGTATGTTGATCAGCCTAGGTGAAGCATTGTCAGATGGCAATGACAATCTACACTCAATTTCCTATTCTCTCTTCAAGTCGTAGATTCTACGAAGACATATTTAAATGATGTTCACTGTGATGCTATATCAATCCACGAGTCCTCGCAGGTAATTGTGTTGACGTAATGTTTCGACTCGTAGCTTGTGTTTTGGGCAGTAGATAAGCTTCCAGAACAAAAAGCATCTCAAATGATTACCCCGTGGTTCATGGTCGCAGCTGCAAGTTGATTCATAGTTCAGATCGTAGCAACTTATCCAAATAAGTTTATTGCCTAAACAAGGATGGTGAAATACCGGAAGGTCCAACCTATCCAATCCGAATGTCTCTATACGGTAAGTAGTACATCAGCAGAGCGTAAAATTCCAGTCAGATTTACTGGTGATAGGTTTGCAACGTTCGGTAAAATCCAACTCACGAGCCTAAAAGTTGGGCTCGTTCGCTTAGATTAGTCTCATGATCGTCGGGAAAGTTAGCTTGAAAGACAACGACTTCGCATGTCAAGCTTCGCCTTTGGCCTGCAGCTGAACCGGAATGACACCTGGGCACACACACGGGCGGTAGCCACCACAGAAAAAGCTGAGATCACACTGTGCGACGCAGACTTTTCTCAAGTCGTGCTCGAAAATGTGCTCCATGTGCTGCATGTACTCAACGAGTGAGGGGAATCGAGCACTATCACGGCCTTGACTCTCCTTGTACCAATAATTTCTGAGATGAAAGAACCATCTCGGGGCCGAGGGTCCCTTCCGTTCAATGTCACTGTCCTTTCCAGCCGGCCCTTGTGGACGGTAATGCAATCAGAGGCTGAGTTATGAAGACGTGAAAGCGTTAAAGTTTGGTCTCCTCTGAGCCAGCCTGGCCCGAAGGAAATCACGAAGTATTAGAAAACCCGCATAATGCACAGCTCCGGTTGTTGACACAGCGCGTAAGTAAATTCCTCTGCTCGCATTGAGAGCTGACGAAAGGTCACGCTGATGTGAGTACGAAATGAAAGGAAGGTGTCGCATGTGATTTGTCGATATTTATGTGAAGTGTGATTTCGGATGACGAAGAGATGCACGCATCGTAATTTCATCACTCATGTCATCGGCTGCTGATGGCGAACAAAACCGAGGCATAATAAAGGATCTACTTGTTGTCGAAGCTCCACTTAAATGTACCCTGCGAACATGGCATCAAGTGTTCAAGAGGCCATGGCAGCACAATTGACGTCGACTTTACATCATATGCGCGCCGGCCGGCCTGCCGCCCGGCCACATTACATCGGCCTCGAGTCGTCGTTTCTCGGCACAGCCGGTAAGCACGACCATGCAAGCTTGTGCTCAGCACAAGCTTGGTCGAAAGCCTGGTCCAGAGAGTCGTCACCGCTGCTGTAAAGCCCCTTTGCTCAGCACTACCGAGAGATCTTGCGCATGGCGGCTGGCTGCCCAAGACGTTTCCACATCCAGAGATTCCAATCTCCGCACCCGACTCCTTTGACGCTCCCCATAATTCCTACCATTCCTCATCCCCTGTCCGGACCAGAGCCGAGCTGAGCTGAGAGCCACGACCATCACATCAAAGCAGAAGAGAGGTTTCCTCTGCTATTTCCCAGCCCCCTGCCTGCCTGCCTCGAGGAGGACGGATGTGAACAGGCCAGGGGCAGCACTAAGCGCGATCGAACAGGATCTTCTTCACGGCGGTAGATCACATCACTCCTTTAGAAGGTAGGGTGTGCAGGCCACGTATACAACAACACGCGATACTGGAAAAGTGTTCTGGTGGATCATAATTGAGCAGGATCGCGATTCACTACGGAATTGGTAAACGGCACAGAGCAACTTGTTAGTTGCCCTGCTTTGTTTCTGGCAGGTCGGTGATGCAATTGCCGGTTTATTGGTGATCAGAGTCAACGAACCACTTAGTGTGTCCAGTTGGGTGTCAAGTGGTGTGATAAGCTCTCGCTAATCAAGGTTCCTTGTGAAAGTGACGGAGTTGAGCCTGTTATGCGGTGATCTGGTGACAATCAGAATCCAAGAGGCATTTGGAGCTAAGAGGAGATTAGGAAGAGGAGGAAGGGGAAGGGGAGGAGGCCAAGGAGTTGGGGCATCACCATTCGAGGGAATAAAAGCCACGAGTGCGGCTGGCCTATCTTCTGGCAGAGCCGTGTCGCACGCAGCGACAGGAGAAGAGCCAAGCCGAGGGCCAATGGGGTCTCACCGATGTGTGCACTGAACAGACGGTGCTGCTGTGGGTGTCGAGAAGGACAAGAAGTTCGGTCGTGCACGCAGATCTTCCATTGCTGCTGCATTCAAACTCATCCTCAACAGAATACGCGGGGGCAGAAAGTTTCTCACTCGCTCGCGCGTTTCCCTCCGCGTTGGGCAAAAGGCGAGAGCCTTCTTTTTTCTGGTTCTGTTTCCATGTCAATGACATGAAACCGCATGAAGATGTCCCGGCCCCCGAAACCCAGCCGTAGAGGTCCGGGTTACGAGATGACGGCTCTGTAATGATGGGCGCTGCTCCGTAGCTGGGGCTGTTGTGCGCAGACGAGGACGAGGCTTAATTGCGCATTGAAAGCCCCAACACCGCACTGCACTGCACTGCGCTACTTACTGCGCTGTTGTGCTGGTTGGGAATGAGAGTGACTCGGTACTTCGAGCGAGCAATGGCGAGGAGGGTGCACAGATCACATTCGTCCTGGAATACCGCTCATGAGGAATTTCACTCTCAGCCCGTAGCCATCCAGAACAACATCCTTTACAACAAGCCAAGGTTCGATCGGCACCCCACCCTCATCGTCCTCTCATCTTCTCTTCATTGTTCTCTTCTCTTCTCTGCCGAGAGAATTCTCATTTCTACGAAGTGCGTATTCTCAGCGATGCAGCAGTCAAGCGATTCCATGTCACACACACTCAGGCAGAGGAATCGGAATGCCGATGTGCGGCGACGGGATGGTCAAACTGCCGCTCACAGACTGACGAGCTCAGCTCACAGGGTAGGATCGGTAGCATTCGTCCTCTACACAGAAATGCGTGGTGGTGACGAGAAGCCCACGGGCATTACAGTAGCCAATCAGTTTCAGGAACTACAATGGCAGCGTCCGAGGTCCACCATCGTCTGAATCATCATCATTGGCCTCTTTTCTCGTCAGTTCTCATCCCTTCTCTCTCTGTCCGTGTATGCTTCGTTTCGTCTGAAGTTGTGTTGCGCTCTGCTCTCCTCTGCTCGCCCGAGCCTCCAGCACGTGGACTGCGCACCATCATGCCTGCCTGCGTGCCTGCCAGACTCAGTAGTCAGTAGTAGGCCGGGGCCGATCGTATGTACCAGATGTATAGTATACGGAAGGAAGGAAGGCCGGATGAAGAACGAATCTTGTCCATTCTCGTGCGAGCGAGTAAAGTGCCCCACAGCGCAGCAGCAGCAGCAGCAGCGGCGGCAGTCGTAGTCGGGTCACATGGAATCAATAACAAAATGACAAACTCGGTTGCTGGACCCAGCGTTGGACTCTCGCATTGGGGCGCCCCCGCCTGCCTGCGTGCCGGGGGGTCGGTCTCGACATCTCCCTCACCCAGCTCAGCTCAGCTCTGCTGCTCTGCTCTGCCCGTCTCGTCCGTCTGTCTGTCCTGCCTTCGCCCCACCCTTCCCAGCCCACCCCGCGCATCGCCTATCGCTCTGCTGTTCCCGCTCCGAGGAACCGCAGTGGTGGCATAGCTCGCCGCCATCGTCGTTTCATGTGAGTAGGAGGAGAAACAGGTCTCGGGTGTGCTGTCAGTCAGGCCGCCTCGCGAGGCCCTGCTGCATATGCGCGCATTTGTTGTTTCAGCTCTCGGTTCGGTTGCGTCGATGGCGTGAATGTTGACGAGGTTTGGTGGTGGGTTTTTGGCTGCAGGGCTGCTCTGGTGACCATACCACAGCTGAGAGATAATCCGCTGTTCGAAACGACGCACGACGAATGCCGACGACTTGCGGCTCCTCGACTGTCGCTCGAGGAGTCGCATTTCAAGCCCGTGCTGCAGCAACAGCAGCAGCTGCAGCAGCAGCAGAGGCGCACGGGGTCGTTGAGTCTGAGCGCCAAGGACTATGAGGGAATATGGCGAGCCGTCCAGGAGGATGTTTCGAAATCGTCGAGCGAATCCAAGTCCGCTCTGGAGGATTTCAAGGAGTTCCGCCAGAAGCTGGCGCTTCGAAAACAGGACATGACGTCGACGATTGGGCGCTCGGGTGGTGCGAGCTCGACGGGCTCCACTCGGTCGATGAACATCTCGCCGTCGCGCCCCACGAGTCCTCTCAAGAGGCTCTCTGTCATTACCTCGCGCAAATCCGCCGCCATCAGTGCGCTGAATCCGCAGCTCTCGCAGCAGAAGGTGCCTCCTGCAGTGCAGAAAATCGCTGTCACCATGCGTGCGGAGGGATTGTTCAAGCTTCCCAGCCCCGCTTCCATCAGCCCAGTCCCTCTGAGCGATCCCCCGACTCCGCCCTTGCGCGTGTCCAGCACCCCACCCACCAAGCGAAGATTCAGTTTGGGCTCTTATCGGGTGGATCAATTCAGGAAGTCTGCGGACATGACTGCCAGCTCCACAGAGTTCGCAAGGACGGATCTCACATCGAAATCAGGGGAGATTCCCGAGGGTAGAGAGGAGAGCGACGAGCAGCAGCAACAACAGCAGCAGCAACAGTCTAGGACGAGTGACGAGGTTAGTGCAGCGAGTGACGAGATTGGCAGCAGAGGTACGGCAGCCGATGCTGCGAAGAAATCAGGGGAGGTTCGGGCTGCCAGTAGTGAAGGCAGAGCCGAGCACCCGAGCAGGAGGTGGGGAGTAATTTCTTCCATTAGCGAGAAGAAACACTCTTCCCAATCTAGTACTACTAGTTCGATGAGGCTGCCGGTGCCATGTGGTGGTGGTGGCGGCGGTGGTCACAGAGCACCCAAAACACCGCCCCAACGAGTTGAGGTCCCAGCGAAAAAGTCGAGCAGCTCGTCGACAAGGGACTGGAAAGTGCGCTGCATACCGATCCCTCGCCCGGTCTGCTACAGCGCAAACATCTTGGAATGAGGATTGGAGGGATGTCCTTGAATGTATGTATAGGAGCTTGACACGAGTGACAGACAGACAGACAGACAGACAGAAAGGTTGTGATTTAGAGTAGATGCGAGTTATTTAGAGGCAGCCGGGTAGTTGCGAAGATCTTCAACTTCGATCGAGCAAAAGCGGGAGCTATGTAGCATTGTAACTTAATCCTCGCCGAGTCAATTCGATGCACTGTACGAGTCCTTGTAAAATAGACCGTCGAATCGGAGCATGACGGTTCCTCAGTCATGTTCGGCTTTTGGCTTTTCCTTAGGAGAACTTTCTTCAGAACCAATTCCTCTCTCTTGCTTCTTGTAAATTTACAGTTCCTCGTCGGCGACGGTTCATTGCATGTCTTCGAGTTCAGTCTGACATAACATGCCAAGACATTTCTGGTACTTTCCTCGAACAAAATGGACAGGTCTCTTCCATCCCGTCTTTCAGGCGAGGTCATTCCCTTTCCCGTAGATTTCCGACATGGAGTATGAAGATGCGAGTCACTTCGAGTCTTTGCATAGGTTTGCAAATTGTGATTTCTTCAGGCGTCATGGTTTTTCTCGATGTCTTCTGTAATCTGGCCTGTGGTCGGCTCCGAAGTTTCGACAGACGCCATTTTCTTGTTGAGAGGCAAAACGAGCGCTTCTGGACTGCCCTTCTCTGCCACACTGAAACTTTTTGAAACGGATTCGCTCCCTATTGCTCAACTTTTCATACCTCGCGTTGAAAAGTTGGTCCCCTGGCAGTTCTGCCCAGTGGAATGTTATCTAGACAGGCCTATGCGAAAGTGGTCCTGCAAGCGATCCAAGGGAAGGATGGCGACCGGGTAGAGGTCTAGCGACTAGGGGCTGCATAGCCCGCAGGATAGGTGATGAACGAGCCTTTCGGATTGTTTGGCCCAAGGGCCTGTTCGCTCACAACTGTGAATCATCACGTAAGCACACCATCTCGTGGCATTAGTTACACTAGTTGGGCTATGAGCTAGCCTCGTCCAATTCATTGATGACTCTCTTGTCGTCTTTTGGCAGTCGCGAGTCGCTGACCTTGTGCTTGGGAAATCTGTGGATGATGGCTTTTGTCACTCCTACATTACCGTCCATGCTGATAACGCAATCAGCATGGATGGACGACGGGCTTGCGAATCTAGGTTCAAGAGTGGGTGAGATTCTCCTAGTGGCCGGAGCTATATATCCGAGCTCGTCAATATCACAAGCAATGATGTTGCAGACAGTAGTCCATGTGGGGGCTTTCACATGGATTCCTCGAAGGTTATTTACCAAAGTTGTGCCTGGGGGCTATGACTTTTTTTTTCACGGGGACAACCCGCCCATCGTGGAAATTGTGGAAATGGCGACGGGTGGGTCGAAATTGTGGTAGCTTTGCAAGTCATTCTGCACATGTACGTCAATCAATGTACAGTACAGGAAGTAGGACGCCATCAGTACTTTGTCATGATACTCTCATGCTTCACGTGAATGTATTATACATTCATTTTCATGGTAAGTCAGCGCGGCCGATTGCCCCGATCGAAGACATATTTGACTCTGTACAGACCGTAAGCTTACCCGACTCACTGACACTTCTCCAAAGTGCAACTACGGCTGTTTCTGTCGGTACCCGCTACGACTCTTTCCATTTGCCATTTTCGACATTCGAGGCGCCAGAGTGGCAGCTTGCAGTCCCGTGGAGTTATGGGAGACCGTCGAATATGATTCTATCGGGCAAGATTACGATTCAGCTCGATGTGGAACGGAATTGAGTTTCCTCACGGTGGCTAAAGCAATGCAGCTTCACTTCAGATGAAGCCGTGTTGTGTTCACCAGTGGGACAGGAATGATAAATGTTTTAGGGTCGAAAGGGACGTACATGAAGCCTCGTCCATACGGATACGGTACATCGATCGATGTACCGTACGAATCGACCCCCTGTGCTGGTCGCACAGGTTCTCATCATTAGAGAGATCGAACAGAGAGCTCAGGCGCCGAGTAGAACAGTGTGTTTGCCACTCACCAGCGCTTGTCAGTACAGGCCCACCTAAATCGAGAGTCCAGTGGGAGGAACGGGGCCCCATGCTTTATATTGGGAAGACCGGATACTTTGCATAATTCAAGCACCGGCCATCAACTGGGCTCGAAGTCTCATTACTGCTGGTAACGAGGACTCATGGAAGTCCACGAATTAAGAGGGCCCGGGCCTCTGAGTCTCATCGTCATAACTGCGGCGCAGATCCCCGCTACTTTGGGATTCTTCTTGGGATTTTCTGTTTTTCAAGATCGAAGACATCATTAGTACGTGTCTGAATTTGTTTTATGCACTATTTTTGTGCTTTCCTATTCCCCATCAATTCCTCTGATGTGTTGCCCAACAACCAATTACCTCCCCATTGAATGATAGAGATATAACGCATCATACACCTCCGCCTTCCACTCCCCGGATGTCACTGCCATCGCCAACACTCAAAAGTGAATACTGTAACTTTGAAAGACATCTTGCGACGGTAATTTATCGTTGAACTCAGCGAACTGTATGGAGTTGTGTCAAGTGGGTCATTGAGCCGAGTCCGGTTGTGATCCTATTGGGACCTGATGAGAAAAATGGAGCAGAAGTGCTGTAAGTGTGTGAAGCTTGTCCCAGTAAATGGAAGCTTCGAAGAAACCAGATCGTGGAATGAGAGTTCAGACAGCAGGAGACAAACGGTTGTCGTGGGATCATCGTTGAGTCGATGACAGACGACTCGCAGAAGGCGGGGAGTGTCATGTGACACTCACTTGGACGGTGACCAGTCTCGTCACTTGCATCTGCAATGGACGGTGTACACAGTATTTGGGTGGATATTTAGACAGACAAACTACAATGGTGTACTGCATGTAGGAGGAGTGGCAGGCTGGGCACATACAGGACCTGGATATTTGCATGGGATGCATTGCAAAAGTCGGAAATAGAAACTAAATGTGCTAATACTGTGCAATGCAAATAAAGCCCCTTGATGTCATGATATAAGTGCTATTGTTGCAACGATGAGGAAGCTACTAAAGTCTTCGTTTTGAAGCGGAAATATAGTTCAGAGCTTCTGTCTTATCGTACTTGCCATACTATCAACATATTCCTTTCCGTCCTGAGAAATCGGCAGAGTTAGAGATAGCAATAGGGGAGGAGACGGGAATTAGGTCTCGATGTCATGACAATGAGAACTATGTCTACTGCAATTGAGATGTATGAAATAGGTTAAAGCATCTACGTGGTATATGGGCATCCGAGGGGTATCAGATAACATGATGGATTTTTGTATAGATCATATCTATTAGTGCTATCCATAAAGCAGTGAACACATTTTAACTACAAAATGTACAGAGATTTTACTTCATATTGTTCTGAAATATATATATTTAACAATCCTTCGGCATTTATTTCTATATGGCAAATTTGAGAAATGCAATATATGGTTTTTTGAAAGTGTTCGAAATTTACAACTTTTTTTTTGTTTGAGATGGGCAGAGGATATGAGTTTTTTTACATGCCTGTTCTAAATTACTGAACAAAGCATCCGTACAGGAACGAGTTTGCAACCCCTTCTATAACCTTCCTGTCATTCTTGGAGCTCGAAGACAAGAGAAACCTTCAACCTTTGTTCCAAGAAACAGCGACGTGTGAAAACAAACCAAGAATGAGTAGTATTTGACAAAAATCTAAATCTTTTCTTGAAGTTATTTTCCAACTATTTTTAATTGCTAATTCAGGCTCCCGTCAATAAGAACAAGTTTCCCAAACTCATCAGTTAAACCAACGATAGCATCCTTAGTACAATGATGTCAAAAAATTTCTTCACAATAGTGATGAAAGTGATATCAACTTTTTCTCTCTCCACTCAACGCAAGCCTGCAATATTTTTCATGTTACAAAGGCCACTTCGCATTCCCTGCCATTCCCTGTTCTCGGTAGCCGAGTTACCTGCATTCGCCGGTTCGGTGCGTCACCCGGCAACCTTGAGGATGGTACAAAGGAGACTGGAGTCTTGCATCAAATACTTTCTATATTATCAGATCGTGCTTTTGCTTGTTGCTAGATTTTAGACGCCGATGGTGAAATTCGCCGGCATGGCCTATACGGTCAGCGAAATACGTCGGAGTTCGGAGAGTATGATCGGTAACCGACGGCGGCGAGAACGCGGCCTTGAGACGGAAGCCGTGATTCCTAGCAAGACTAGGGCCCCACAGCATGTCCCGCCGGGAATCGACAGGATAAGGCGGTACAAGAAGGTGCACACTAGCGGACTCAACGACAGAGCGCAGGATTATTTATTTCGATCGAGCGTCACCGCTTTCTCCTTCCGGTGCCTAAATTTGCCTCCTCTCCCAGATATGGACTTACGATCGTACCGATGTTGACCGACAACCTTGTTTTATGCTCTGGATCGTTGCCCACTGGTCAGTCTGCCGCGCTAATTTGAACTTGAGCCCTCGCATGTGGCCGGTCAACTAGATGCACGTACGAAAGTCAGACCCATACGGTATGGATTTTGAAATTTGCCTCCGAAAGCGAAATACATCTGTGCCTCCCTCATCTTCGGAGGTCAAAGTCGTGACTCGTGAGTTTTCTGGTGCAGTGTCCAAGGTAAAAGTATCTTAATGATGGTCGCAATTTTGTTCAGTACGCGTATGTAGCATGATGAAGAATTCCGAACAGGAGTGCATATTTGTTGAAAGTATAATATCAAATGTGTATGATATAATTTTCATATCATTACCTAGGCGATTGTAGAGCCAAAGTTTAGAGTTCACGAAAAGTTTTGCTCATAGTTGAGTTGAGAAATTTGCTTGATGGGACCATCAGAAGGCTGACTGCTTGATGGACCCTTCCGAGGGCAATTCAGTCACAAATGTTCTACTGCGAGTTCTTGTAATTGATTTCAATCCGGGTTAGGAAAAACAATGCGACTCTTTGTCGAAAAGTGAATTCTCCCTGCAGGCACTTCACGGACCAAAATACTCAAGTTCCGTGATTTCGGCCAAGAGTTTTAGAAAGAAAACAAGGAGTAAGTAGATTACAACAATACAATATAATTGTAATAAAAATCATTCTGGTACGGGAGAAATTAGGCTTCTACACAATAAAGATTGGGAGCCATGGGAAATTTGACTAACTTAAATTCGGGAAGAATTTATTTTTTTCATTGAAGTGGAAACAAAGCAATTGCAAAAACATAACTGACGGTGACCCGTCGGAAGGTTCCATTGGGTAGAATGGAAAGTATTGGGTACCATCAAGCAGTCAATGTTCTAATGGATCCAATCAAGCAAATTTCTCTAGTTCAGTTATTTGTTATTTAAGGTTTATAATTTAGGTTTGAAGTTCTCAAATATGAGCACTTTTGTCCACTTTCATTGAAACCGTGCGTTTGATGTATGAAAATAGAATTTGAC